TCTTGTTGGGTTTTGGCGTTCTTTTGGGCCTTCCACTGGCTAAACCCATCTTGATTTTCTCAGCTTCTTCCGCTAAAAGCTGATAAAAACATAAATCAATGCAGTATTCAATGGCACACACTCTATAAAACTAAGCAATCTTTGCATTTTTTCCATAATTGGAACTAAATGTCTTCTCTAGGTAATTGTGTGTTCATCAACAAGAAAAACACTAAGGGATTTATAAAGACAGTGATTGAGGAAAAGGACAGATGATGAAAAGATGAGTTTGATAAAAAAATATATATATATAACAGTTCATAAAAACTCTCAAATACATACCATATCACAGGTTTTTTTCTTTCTGGTTTTTCCTTTGGTTTTTGTTAACTTGGTAGGGCTGAGTAAATGTAAACTGCACACATATAACTGGGAACTCTTCTTGCTGTGTCTGAAAAGTAAAAAGAAAAGATTCATAATTTTAATAATAAAGAGTAAATAATAAATAATATATAATAAATAATAAATAATAATAAATATAATAATAATAATGAATAAATAATAAAAAATAATTTTAATTTTAATAACTAAATAAATTTAATAATAAAGAATAAAATTCATAATGTAATAATAAATAATTCATAATGTAATAATAAATAATGAATAAATAATAATAAAATTAATAATAATAATTTTAATAATAAATATTTTAATACATAAAATAATAATAATAATTTTAATAATAATTTAATAATAAAACCTTTGTGTCCTTCAAATATTCCATGCACTAAATTTCTTGTAATAACTATAATAATGGAATCCTACATAAAGATATGTGGATGAGAATTCTTCATAATCAAATGCAATTTTATGAACATAGGCCTAATATGACAAATTATTATAATATAATATATTATAATTTATAATATATTATAATATATAATATAATATATAAGGTTTCACTTACTGTGATATGTCAAGCATCTGAGTCCAAAGTTTTCTACTGCTTTCATCACTGGGAACAGGGATGTAGGTTACACTGGATTCTGTTCTGTCCGATCTTGACTCACAATCTTCGATACAACACTTCTTTATCACATTTGCAGACCCCTGAGAAGTGGTAAAACTTAGTGATGGCACATATACTACTGCTGTCTTTTCGGGTAAAGTTTTGAAAATCAAATAGTTCTTTCATATAAACAGCCAAATACTACGAATCATGATAGCGAATGCAGTCACTAATAATCATCGTCATCATCATCATCACCATTATCATAGTCATCATAACAATCATCATAATAATTATCATCATAACAATCATCATAATCATTATCATAAACATAATAATCATAATCATATTAACTGTAGTCTCATAATAATGAATGCTGTCAATAATATTAATAATGAAGATGATAATATCAACAATAATAAATAAAGATAATTACAATGATGATAAGAAATAACCACATTGACTTTGAAATGTACAACCAGTATCACAGAATTAAAAAAAGAAAAAAAAAATCACTGCACTCTTTATCCTTCTTCAGCATTACCTTCTCTGAATAATTTTCCCCCTTGACTGTCTTGAGGTTGAGAGTCGCTAGGGTAGCTCTCTTGGACCCCTCGGAACCCCCTCCAGTGTCTTCTCTCACTGGTCTGAAGTGAACTGTTTGGGTCTCGCAGTCAAAGTTTTCACTGTTTGACTCTCTTCTGCATCTTAAGAATACCTGATGTGAGAAGAAAATATAGTATAATTCTCTGTTCAAATATATGGAAAAAAATAATAATAATTTTCATACAACTAGAGATATTTTCAAAACTTTTATTGTCCTTAATGCAAAATACTAATAAAAGTCACAATATTAAAGATGATAAATCCTAAATTTTTTGAGGCCAAGGAATGTTTAACTGGCAGACATGCTTGCTTGACTTCCAATTTTGAATACCATGCATGATGTATCCCATCAACTTGCTATTACCTATGTTGCATCAACCACATTACCTGTGTTGCATCAAGGGTCTCTGCTGCATCCCCTCTCCACATGGTGCCCCGGCTAATAGTTCCATCCTCTTGGACTTCCACCTGAGACACTTCACTGGTGTCTTCCTCCTCACCCTCATCTAAGTTTGAAGTGTCTAATCTTGTGAAGTCATCTTTTGTTAGTGTTAGTATTGCTGGAGTATCCGGAACATCACTGGAACTTCTGTCTTCTCTTGCTACACTGCTGGATCCTAATAAAAGTAATTATGATAAAAATTATATAATCTCATTCTGACTAATGGGTGCTTATTTAAGTCATATAATGCAAAAGAATTTTTCCAAGTTATGAAGTACACAAATTGGTGGAATTAGGATGGTATGAGGGGAAGGGGAAAAATACGAGACTGAATGAAGGAAGAGAGAAGTGAAGAAAAGAGACAAAAAATACATATATACATACTGTTATCTTCATCCTGTAGTTCCTCCACTTTCCTTTTGTGGGCTCTTCTATTGTGTCCACTCATTGTACAAAATCTTGTATTTTTTCTACTATCAATTCTGAAATGAGACATAACATATTGCTTCATTGAAAAAGGGAATGGCACAAGTGACACTGGTGCCTTTGTTCTATCTAAATTCACTTGAAGTTTGCTTAGATCTGTACCAGAAGGCCTACAGTCTCATGCCCAACCTGACAGGAGTACAGTTCTAAATGTACTTCTAGCTAAGGGCAAAACTTCATCACATATACTATAGAAACAGAAACTCTTTAAAGATTGTACTGATGCTTTATCTGATGTTACATTGCCAGGGAGATTTAGCAGCTTTTGAAACCTTTAACCTCTTTGCTCAATGGACAATGCTAGTAACATAAAAACAAATAAATTACTGGGTATAAAGTATAAAAAGCAGAACTTATCTAACAATCTCTAATCAAAGCCTAAAAGTCTATGCTTGCAAGGTAGAATAGGGCTCAAAGATCTTGGCAATTTATCAAATAAGGCACCAGTCCATGCACTCTCCTTTCAAACACATTGAGTGCTTAAAAAAGAGGTTAGGATATTCTGGATCATTATCAAATATAATTTAAAAAGTGTAAAATAATGTAGTAATGCATGGGACAATCTTTTTTAATATGCACAACTGCAGCAATGAACTTCCTTTTAAATAATCACATGCTACCATTTGCGTAATAGGTAAGTTTCTCCACAGCAAAGTAAAGTTTCGCCATTTATGGTTAAAATCAGTGTGTAAGTAATCTCCCGCCAGTTGCAATAATAAATTTGCATTATTTTTTATTGATACACAGTTTAATGATCGTTTCATCATACTGTGCATTTTATGGGAAAGTTGAGTATCGAATAAGATCCGTAACAGAGACTAGTCTATTTATTTTTTAAAGGCCACGGATACGTCCATAAAATCATAAACCACTTGGAAATTTTGTGGACCCTAAAGACTCAACTGTCCATACACAGACAATAGAATTGTGGAGGGACTTTAAAGAATCGACGAAGATTTTTTAAAAATCAAGCTCCTAGCCAATCACAGTTTCAGCAAATGACATCATGTTTCTCTAACCAATCATAACTCAAGTTTTGCAGGTACCTATGCATTCAACAAAGGTAGCTTCAGTCTGTAACTTGCCAGTCAGGATGGAGGAGGTCTATTTGGTGGAAAGATTCACTAAGAAGCCACTTGGTATGGCCCTAGATGCTTTTCTTTAAAACACAATTAAGCCATAAAGGAAAGTGCGTCGTGTTAAGCAAAAGAATTTATTGCAAAGAATTTATCTTAATATTCATAATCGTGAATCACGAACTGGCTAAACGATATTTTGTCACACAAAATAAAGAGTTTACGGGAGAAATGGTAAGAGGCCAACATGATATATTATTAGCTTTTTCATTTACAACACAATCTTCTGTAAACTAACTGTTATCCTAATAAAGTTAATGCAACAATATTTTGAAGACCACATTTAGACCATTCTCACATCACGTCCACGGCAGACAGCTAGAAACCGTTAAGAATCATTAAGACCTCCATAATCATTTCATATTACTGGTTCTCAAAACCCCAAACCTAACCTTGCCTAGCTTCTATTTCTTCCCTAGACAGGGGGCAAGGCCTGCTGCTCCCCCCTTTTAATAGCACTTCCTGCCAACTTGTAGAAAAGGGACATTAAGAACTCAGGCCATTGAGCAGTGATATGCAGTGGATATTTACGTCATTTTGCAGTAAATATGAGGTCCCTGCAGCTATACCTGTGTTTCACTACATTTCTTATGCTCTATAGATCACAACTATAGAAAAAAAAAATTAAATGCAGCTGCACAAGGGTATATTGTTTTGAAGTTATTATATTGAGACTATGGTGGTCCGGGGCCAGAGTCCCCAGAAGGGTAATATGGTGATCAGGAGGAGCTCTGAGGCAAAGCCCCCGGGTTAGGAAGGTTTTTGGTTCACATGGCTATTTTTCTAATTGTTTTTGCATTTATGATAGGGTGCACTTTCTCATTCATTCACACAATGCAGTGTCGAATCTTCCATGGCTGAATCTTGTCTCGAGGTTTTCTATTTTCCACTTTCCTTATCATATGGAATACGATAATTGGCTTGGGATTTTTTTTCCACTTTCTTTTGTTCTTTAATATGCCTGCAATGAGCGAAATCCCCCCCAACCCCCAATTCCCCGCAGGATTTTTCTTTGGAAAATAGATGCATTTGTCTTAGAAATAATTATGACGGCTCTCAATTTTCAATCTAATGTTGGTGCTTTTAGAAGTGTGAACGTGGCAGAGAAGAAAAGATTAAATATGATTTAGTAACCGCAAAGATTAAATTTTTCTGAAGAGATTTGCCGAATCATTGGAAATAGCAAAAAGCACACTTTTGGGGGACATATGCAGGTTTGTTTAGATTAATGAACCTCAATAAAGGATAACAGTATATATACATTATTAGATTTTATTAATTTATCTTTTCATGACAGAGTAATAATAAATGACCATGAACAACAAATGGCTTAAGGGGACCATCCCGGACAATGACCCCCTTTCCCTACTCATTACATCATAAAAAAATATCAGTTAGAGATAACTGATTGATTCTTTTTGCATGATATAGAGTATAGAATTGCGCTTCGTTTCATATATAATTTTAGCCTCGCTCTCCCATAGGAGGGGGTACCCCCTCAAATAGTCGCAAAAAATTGTTTTTTTTCTTCGTCTTCGGTACATCCTAACAGTTCTTTACTTAATAGTCCCCAAAAAATACTTGTGTTAGATCCACCCTAGCCTAAGGCCATGTAAATGGCCGATTTTTGAATTTACTTTTTTTTTTTCTTGGCGGGGGACTGCTTGACCTAAGAGCATTAAAAAATGTATATTTTTTTCATTTAGGCCAAAATTCAAATCTATTTTTTTATTTTAGAAACTAATGCCCTTAACTAAACAAAGCCTTAGGGCCTCCGAGGGATAGTGTTATTTGTTGTTGTTGTTCATAAAAGTAGATATTTTCGTCTGAAAAGTTTAATAAAAGCATTTTACCAAAGAAACAACTAATCTAAACCAGATAAAAACCTTTTTTTCAATTTTCATTTTATTTTAATTTTTTATTTTTTCAATTTTGAAGAAATGGGAAACTGTGGATGGCATTAGTACAAAATCATCCTAATCATAAAGTCCTAGCATGAATACATGGTGGTTCAATTTTCCATTTATCATGAATTCATCTACCACATTAAAAGTGACTAAGTTATTATATAGTTAACCCCAAGCTGCTGGGCATGGCATGTACATACATGCCATTGCCCATTGTGTGTGTTGAATTTAGTAATTGCTTTTACATTTAGATGGCTCCACAAGTACAGTCGCCAATGAGCCAATTACACGAACTACCTGTCTCACCTGTTTACCCTTTTCCTTGATTTTTTTATATTTTCTAGTATTTAATAGTGCTGTTAGTAATGTCAGTAATAATATAGTAATTATAATGTGTATAACAAAAATAATAGTGTCAATATTGATAGCATTCGTAGAAAAAAAAAAAAAGAAGTGTTTTCCTGCTTTTTCAGGGAGGTGAGGTCACAAGATCTACTAATTGACTCCTTTGTGGCTAAGCTTCAGCAAAGCCATCTATGTGCAGAATCATTTAACCAAACATTGGCAAAGGGGACGCACCATTTTCCCGTTAACAATATAATTTTGGGGTGTGAAGCATGGTTCATACCCCAAAGAGTTTAATATAAAGCTTTACTAACAGTTTTTACAATATATATTATTTCTCATTAATCACCCACATTATTTTGTTGTGCATATTATGAAATCTTAACAAAATTTCTTGAATGTTTTTCAACAGATTGTTCAGAAACATGAAAACAACTTTTGTTATCTGAACCGGTCATTGGCAATGGAAAAAGACAACATGTTTACACATACTAGTGTTTATTGGATCAAAAGACAATAATTGAAAGGTGGGATGGCTGTGTGAAACTGAAAAATTACCCCAATTTGCCATGGCCTCTGTGCCTTTAGCACTCCAAGTAAAGGACAACAAACTTCCTTAGAATATATTCCTGAGATAAATCTTGCAAACCACACTGGTGACATTCTGCCAAATATGGAACCTGGCCAAGTTCTAAGCTATGTGGCAGTTTCTTGTTCTTTGCCTGAGTACTGAAGGCATGGATGTCATACTAATCATAGTACTTTGCCCCAATCGGATTGCTACCGTAGTTAGTGTTGCGGACCTGGGCGGTATACATTGCAATCTATCAATATTAAATTACATAATATCTGCAACTCTTATGCAGGTTTATTTCAGTTTGTTTGGAAACACTTTAGATTCTCTTGAAACTATTCTGGGCAAGCAACTTAGTTGAAATACATGGAACTGATGCAATATTTTGAGCAATAATAGGTATACCTTGACATCTTCACAAAATTTTGTCAAATACTGAAAGCTACAACACGAAAGTAAATAAAATAAAAGATCTTACGTGAAGGATTTGTAATGAACTGTTTTCTAAGAAAATATTAGCCTGAAATCCGCCTCCAAAATACAATTTTTATTATCGAGAAAAAAAAACGATAAATGATACCTTTTCACTCATTTCCAGATATTGTAAAAGCTGCTTCCTGGTTTTACTAGCCGCCATGCACCTTAACATCACTAACACCGAATCTACAGGACTCACAAGGAGTTTCCTCTTACTCAAAATATTAATGGAAATTCACAGGCAAAAAAAAAAACCTTTGTTTATGCTCCCGTATCCCTATAAACATGAATATAAACAAATTGAAATAAACCAATAGACAAAATCAGCACCAATCCACTCTCTCATACCTTCATGATCGGTATTTATATGAAAACATCTTCAAATCCTTGTACGGGATAATATTCCCTCCGAATCTCGTAATAAAAAGTTTCCTTACCTTTAGCTTCCCTTACAAATGGACGCTACATGGGCCCGTCTTCTTCTGCCGCGCAAAAGGAGCTTTTTGTGTATATTGCGTAGACAGTTTGGCAAGATCTCATTCCTCATTGGCTACAACCGGTTTAACGAGAGCCAATAGAATGTGAGATACCTCACGCGTTCCTCCCGCGCATTTGGTTTGGAATAGGATAAGAACATGGGTTTATGCGTTTGAATTTTATTAATTCCGATTCTTACTTTTGTAAAGGGAATAAGGCTGGGTGATATAAGTATGATTTGATTTTATATAATTACAAAGTACTCATATTCTCATTCTCTTAAGCTTGTCACTTTTTTGTATAAATCTTATTTGACAGTAACGGAAGGAAAATAAAATTAAGGGATTTGCAAAAAACAGACTGCGTAAAAATGCAAAATGTGTTCAGTATATTCGAATAGATTAGGTGTTTACAAATACACATATAAAGGATATCTAATGATTAATCGCAAAGTTTAATCTTTCCTTAAAACTAATTAAATTACCTTCAAAATCGTAGATGACAGTGAGCACTGGCTATCCTCCATTCTTCATATCATTCAAATTATTTAATAAAAATGTGATACTTCTTCATTAAAAAAAACACTTCTATTATCTGTTATTCCGCCTATCTGCTCTCTCGGAAGGTAGCGATATATTCTAAATTTCAATATCATTATCATAGCGTTATGGGATATCATTATCACTGTTATTATCATTATTGTGATCATTGTTATTGTTGGGGGCGGTGGCAGGGAGCGCTACCCCCGCTCTTGAGGTCCTCAGAGGCAATGAAAAATGAATCCTATGACTTCAAATATCACAGAACACATCGAAATCAGAAATTTCGAAACCACTCTACACACACACACACACTCTCACACACACACACACACACACACACACACACACACACACACACACACACACACACACACACACACACACACACACACACCACACACACACACACACACAAACACACACAACACCAAACACACCACACACACACACACACACACACACACATACACACACACACACACACGAAACACACACGCACATACGCACACAGATACACACACACACACACACACATATATATATATATATATATATATATATATATATATATATATACAAATACTATTCTTTAAACACATTTGCCAATTTCTCTGTTTGAGAAAAATGACAGACCAAAATATTGCATTTTGATATTGCATGAACATGATGATATAACTTTGAAAGAAAAAATAGTGAGTAGGAAACAGTGAAATTAATAATCAATTGCTGTCTGGCAATGACCAATGCAGCGCGTTAGGAGAGGATCAAACGGAGGAGAGTGGAGGCTTTGACAAAATATCGTTTAATATTCTTATGCAAGTCAATGATGATCTTAAAACTACAAAAAATGGCATAAATTATCAAATAAAGATATTATAACCTTTCAAAATTAGGGGAACAAATGTGACGCAAATAGAATATCTCTTGATATCCAAATTTCAATATCATGGTGCCTCTTAAAACACCAAAAAGCACTGATGTAACTCCATAAACAAAAATACGACATTCCGAAGTAGGGATAAATGTGTCGCAAAGGGCTTAGAAGCCAAGTTCATTTTAAAAATAACTGAACACAGACAAAATATCTTTCAATGTTTTAAAGCTAGATAATGGTGAGTCTCAGAAGAAAATGGAAATAATTGACGTAACTAAAAAAAAAAAAAAAGCCTGCGTTTTGTTTTGTTTTGTGATATGAGAATATAAAATCTTTTGGGTTTCATTTTAAAGATAAAATCAAACGACATAAGTAGGTATGACTAGAAATTTTTCTGTCCTCACACAGAGAAGGATTGGCCAGAAAAGTGGGTAAAACTGGTAATTTTTATTAGAAAAGGGCAATTATAAGCAGCCAATGTGCAACAACAAAAATGCTTCATTTTTAAATTTATTTTATGAGAGCCCTTGAATTTACTTGAAAAACTGTGTATTGCGCAGAGGGGTATAATTCAAGACATATTTCAGCATAATGACAGTATCAAAATTGTTTTTCTACATTTCGGTTTTGCTTGTCTATAAGGTTAAAAAACACCAGGTTTCTTGATAATGAAAAGAAATGTTACAGAGGTCTATATTTGGCATTTTTAAACATTTGCAATCACTGCCTGATCCGAAGGCCACATCTCAAAAAACGTTCATTATGTGTCAAAAACAAGAAATTGGTTCTGCCCACATAAGACACTGGAGGCACAATACGTGAATTTAAACTAAATCTGAGACATGATGCCGACCATCCTTCGGCGAGATGAAAAAGAATAGCCCTGTGACCGGGATATGTGAAAATGACATGTATGAAAATGAATACTGTAATTAGGAATGTATCTTCTCTCAGAAAGGGAAAAAACATCCTGATTGTTCATTTTCTTATGAATGATGGAGTTCAATATTGTTTTAATGAAATATAACTGAACTCTAATACTTAATTTTTTTCCTTACACGTAAGCTAAAGGACTTTTTTCGTCCTTTATTTTAGGGTGTCTATGCGCCCGCATCTGCCAGGGCATGTCCTTGATACAGGTGACCAAATTTGCGTCCGAGAAGATATCTAAATATCCTCGAAATATCCGGAAATTTAGCTTCCATCACTTTCAAAAAAAGAAAAAGGAACAAATCACAAATATAATGTATATATATATACATATATATATATATATATATATATATATATATATATATATATAATATATTATATATATATATATATATATATATATACACATATAATATATATATATATATATATTATACATATACATATATATATATATTATATATATATATATATATATATACCTATATACATACATATATATATAATATATATATATATATATATATATATATATATATATATATATATATATACATACATATATATATATATATATATATATATATAATATATATATATATATATATATATATGTATATGTATATATATATATATATATATATATATATATATATATATATATATATATATATATATATATATATATATATATATATATATATATATATAAGCCGTTGTGATTATGTAGGATTGTCTATGAAAATCAGAATCATATCTGATAAGAAGACTTGTGTAACATATACGAAAGTTTCCTTGTTCCATGTCGAGAAATAAATAATGACTCATGAACAGATTCTCAAGAGCCAAAAGCTTTCATCAGACAGTGAATGTAGCTCTAATTATTTGTATTTACGGGTGTTATTCTTTCCTTATGTGGACTGTTAAAATTTTATGTGTCCGGTTATAACGACGAGGCACAGATCGTTTATTATTCAAACGGTCGTTAAAAGCAAACGGTTTTTGACATAATTACACGTTTGGACAATGAGAGCGCATTTATTATTCAATTGGCCGTTGCAAGTGAACTAACGTGACGTAAATGCCGTTATAAGCAAACTAGTTGGACGTGACTGCTGGTTTAGCCAATCAGAGCACGCTTTTTAGTCAAACGGCCGTTATTTGCAAACTAGTGTGATGTAACTGCTAGTTTGGCCAAAGAGTGCGCGTTAATTGGTCAAACGGTCGTTATAGGTGACATGTTCCATCTTTTCCGGTGGCAATTAAGGTGTTGTGCCAGCTGAAACCTGTCTCGTGATCGAAGGCGAGACACGCCGCTAAGCTGCCCCCACTCCTGTGACGTAATGGGAATTGCCGCTGTTGATGGCTAGTTATCTTACTGTATTGGTTATTGCCACCAATTTTTTTTTTTTTTAATGTATCATAGATATCTTTTGATATATGATGAGTCGTGCTTTGTTATAAATACCCAGTGTGAGGGCGAATATACATTAAAATAACCGAGGTAGGAGAAATGCATCTAGCAACTTGGTATCTGTGTACCGCCTACTCAATTCCTGTCGCACGAGATGTGTCGCGTAGGCTGTAATCATGACAAAAACCTGCTCTAGTGTGACGTAACCGCTGGTTTAGTCATGAAGAGCGCAAGGTTGGAGTAGGAAGGGTCACGACAACTATTGCAAGAGCAGAGGATCACTGGCTGGTGCGGAAGATGCAAAGTACTTAAGAGACAGGTAGCTCCACTCCAACTTGATGGAAATCCTAAATGGCAACTTCTGTGCTTTTGCCTTTATTCATTGCAATCAGTCAATCAATGGAACACCGACAAGGGAGCATAGCCACAACCAGCCTTTGCTTCCAGCCATGGGGGTCCCTCATGGGGACATGTATGATCGACCTGCCCAAGCCACCACTTCCTAGGTTATGCCTCCTCCACCCCAGGATTCCATAAAGCAAAGCTGGCAATATCAAGGTCATGAAGACACGTAGTCTGGTCCTTCTACACAGGTACCAGCATCTCTAAATACTCTTATTGACTGAGTTCATGGCTCCTACTGCTAGACCAATCCATCTACTGACTTCTTGGTCTGACAGCCCAGAGACATGGACTCCACTACCAAGGTATGTAAAGCTCTCTGTGACTTCAATTTCTTCACAAACCTGTATTGCCTGAACAAGTTCCCCTAACAGACCCAAAAATCCTGGATCCTGGTCTTGGTCCAGGAGACTTTTAGCCCCAAGTTCTTTGCCACATTGCTGCATGCATCAAGAGCCACCACTAGAGATTCCAGAGACTCAGATAGGAAAGCAACATCATCAGCAAAGTCGTGAACCTTACACCTAGGAGCGAATCCAACCTGTTCCTGTCTCTGGTGCATTAGTAGGCGGTCACAGATCCGTTTCTGAAGAACATGGGGAAAACCTTGCCTGCTATACTGAGCTGTGTGATGCCACGGTAGTTCCAATGATCTCTTTCCCTTATTCATTACAAATATGTAATTAGAACAGTTACCTTTCTGTTTGTGTAACCTGTATCCACATGTTCAGTCATGTTGTACTAATGCAGAGCTCGTTAATAGTCAGGATAACAGTTGCAGGAGAGAGGATCGTTGGCTGTCGAGGGAGACACGTTTGGTTGGCAGCTCTGACTTGGTGCACATTTATGGTTCTGTGAGAGACATCCTCTTTTTCTTTGCCTTAGAACCACAAGCTA